ATTTTTTACATAAATAAAAAATGTAAATAACAATTTAATTAATTTTTTAATTTTTGACATAAATAAAAAATATAAATAATAATTAAATAAATACATTTGCGACGTATAAATATCGTCGCGAAAAAGATTGTTCCTACAATTTTTCGAGACGATTTTACTTTCGTTGCAAAAAAGTTCTTTTTTTTTTTTTAAAATAATTCATAAAAAATGATATTCCAATAATATAAAAAATGAAAAAATGGCTTTAATACTTCAAGAGGATTTAAACCATCTCTAATTACATTTAATGTCTCATATCAGCACCCAAGCCTCAGGCAAGCTCCATGCAGCAACTACTTCATATCCAACCACCTCCTCCTTACAGAAATAATCCAGTGCTCCATGACATCCCAGATTTTTCAATCCTGCAACACAGACCAGCTTCCCAGTCTTCAAAAACAAGTTCAAATTATTCCTTATAGCTCTTTAATGCATTCAATCTGCCCCCAGTGAAATGGCCAAGTTCTTCTCCTGCTTCTGAGGCTTTCGTTTGTGTCAGAAGACTATTCAAATCAACACACCAGAGACTACAAGTGTTCATTGCTAGAAATAATGGATATTTGGTGAATAATATGAATCGAAACATGTAGGACTTACTAGCACCAAAAATAAGAAACATGTAGGACTTACCTGTACTGATACCACTTGCCATGAGCTGCTTGATTGTGGGTAGAATGGACACGTGTGGTAAAAAAATAGAGTTAAATTTAGGTAAGTTGATCTCTAACACTTGTGGTGGTTTACTTGGGACTTGTTTGGCTATAGAGGTCAAATTTAGGATCTCAGCCCTATTTGAAGCAAGCAGCGACAGAATGACAAAATCCCTAGCATAAGCAAAAGAATCCAACTGAATGTGTAATGAACAGTAACGTGAACAGTCCAGCTGTAAGTGATCAGACTATTTAAAAAACAGTCAAAGAAGGAGAGAGTTTGAAGTGTACCTCAGTACTTTCAAGAGAATAGAAAATTTGCTTGAAGAAAAACCACATCTTACTGTGTAGATGTATCATCAACATATATAAAATTGATTTGTACAAATTGCAGAAACTTTCAATTGACAAACAAAATAAGACACAGTACTCAATCACCCAGTTATCCTCCAATTATAGCCTAAAGAGCAAGACAGACTTGAAATTCTTAGCGAAGAAATTCAATGATTACAATTACTTTGCTAAGCAAAATGAGCAAAATTCTTATGACATTTACACCATTGTTGGACAATATCATTTCCTCGTGAATACAAGGAAAATGCTGATAAATTCATTTGGACAATTGAGTATCAGAACATAAGCAACTGTATTACATTAGAGCAAGAAAAAACTCTAGCTACTTACCCTTATGTACCAGGGTTCAAAGTATCGTATCCGACTCGGCCATAGACGATACGATAACGGTACACGAATCAAAAGATTGACGAATTTAACTTGTATCGGCGATATCTCGGACGTCTCAGCCGAAATCAAAGGTGTCGGTGGAAACTCGGTNACTTACCCTTATGTACCAGGGTTCAAAGTATCGTATCCGACTCGGCCATAGACGATATGATAACGGTACACGAATCAAAAGATTGACGAATTTAACTTGTATCGGCGATATCTCGGACATCTCGGCCGAAATCAAAGGTGTCGGTGGAAACTCGGATCAACTCGGGCGACGCGATTCGGAATCCTTTCGAGTCGAACACGACAGTAGAAAAATCNAGTCCTCTTGATTTTAGAAAAAAGTCATGCCTAATTAATCCCATTAATCACCAAAGAGATATTATGATTATGAAGACAATTGGAAATTATTTTCAGAAAAGCTTCAGAAAACCCAAAATTAGTTAAAGTCTGTTGTAGAAAGTCCCATTCTAGTCTGTCAAAGGCCTTCATCATATCTAGCTTCACAATTGCATTTCCAGCTTCTACCTTCCTGTCTAGCTCANAATCCAATAAAAAAAAAAGGGGATGGGAAATAAAGTAGACCTACTGCCAGACTACCCGTTGAAAGACTCAACACCCATGTGAAAATTACAGAAATGACATGAACCCTAAGGCTGCAAACCCCTATAAAAAACCAATNTCTGCAAAAGATTATCAACACTCCTTCATTTTTTTGAAAAAAGAACAAAAATCCAAAAAAAAAAAAAGGGGATGGGAAATAAAGTAGACCTACTGCCAGACTACCCGTTGAAAGACTCAACACCCATGTGAAAATTGCAGAAATGACATGAACCCTAAGGCTGCAAACCCCTATAAAAAACCAATATTACTACCATACCTGTAAATCGAACCCTGAAGCATCTTCTTCATCTGGTCTTGTGTGTCGATCTTGTTCGATTCTTTGTTATGCTTGTTCAACTCTTTGTGGAGACGATTTTCTTCGGTCTATATCGGCGAGGAACTACACTGCATCTCTCTGTGACTCTGGGAAGTGAGAAAGACGAAAAACCTAAAATAGGTAGGAAAAAAANATTGGGTTCTCCTTCTTAGTACAGTAGCATTCACAAACCTGGGCACTTCCCCTCCAGTAAAGAAATAATTAGTAGCAACTAACAAATCCATTTTTACAATGTCCCGAGTACTACGAAAGAACTGACCTGAATATCCATTTGGCCCAGGAGCACTGTAGATAGACATTGAGAAGACTGTAGTTCTAAGCTCCTCCAAAGTAACTGGAGCAACAAGCATAGCATTATTGTGCGTGCAAGATCCTGCACAATATAAAAAACGGANTGTCGATCTTGTTCGATTCTTTGTTATGCTTGTTCAAC